GTACCGTTTGTTAAGCAATGTCTTTGAATGCAAGAGTCTATGATGGTCGGAAAGCATTTGTGCGCGAAAATCGTCCGAAAGCAGGGGATGCTTGTGTGCTTGAGCTGATAGTAAGAGCCGCACTCGTAAAGTCACATTCAAGGTTGGCATGTGCATTGCTTGAGACACAAAGTGATGCATTAAACAAGACGTAAGATATTGTAGTCTCTGTGGACACTATTATTGATTGTCACATGTTAATAAACTTCACTCTTCTTAACTTTGTTGTCATATAAACTTAACACATGTCAATCAATGATTGAAGTCACAGAAGGACTCTTTATCTTCCCTATACACGAGGACTTCCATGACAAGGACCGCAGGTGGGTTGACAACGCTTCCAAGTAAACCACCATGGCACATAGCGCTAAAAAAGTCTCAATTCTCATGACGATCTGATTAGCTATTCATCATCAGATCAAACTCATTGCAGTATGAACAATTAGACATGATGCCACTAATTAACAAGCTCAACAAGTTTAAAGTAGCAAGATTTCTTTTTCCCGTCTCTCTTCTTGTAGAACAGGAGCAATTGAAAGGAATTTGAATCTCCTTTTGGAATAAAACTAAATCAACCTCCTGACAGGCAAAAAAATCAAGACAGACATTAACCGAAAAATAATTCCTCAGAAACCCTAACTTTTCTAGTGTGATCACTAAATTATTGAGGGGCTATGTTTAGCCTTTTCGTTGGAGATGGTGATGAATATGACTGAGATGCACACTATACAATGACTAAAAACCATACATCAACATCTTCACCGGTAATGAACAAGCCGATATCTAATACATGGTAAATTCCAATATCCGCGAATCACAGTAAGTGGGAAGATAATAAAGCTTCCGTTGCCAACGGTAGTCGTCTCACGAACAGTCAGGCTGGCTACCCCTCGTGATAAAACCATAAACAAAACGTAAAGGAACCCCTTTTGTGAAGGCGAAGCAAAGCAATCACAAAGCTGTGTCGGGAAATAAAAACATATTCAAGTGCATGTCGAAACAGGGAGTAGCGTTGGCTTTGAAGACGCTGTAAACAAGGCTTTGAAAACTTCAACTTTTGCGGTAAGACCCGCACCCGCATACTTTCTGAATCTTTTGCATCGTCAGACAGAAGCCTTTGCGTCATGCTCAGCACTCGCAGGAGGTTTGGCATCAGATTCTCCAGCAGCGGATGGTGGTTGGTCAGCAGTTTCGTCCTCTGTGTCACTATCATCATTCTCTGCTGGTAGCACAAGACGGTTAATTTAATTGTCAGTGATAAATTGTACGCTAATCTGCAGTAACTAGTCCACTTCCAACAAACAAAAGATCATGCAGCTAGAATGGACTATATAGATTGTGAAACTCACCATCAAACTTGCCAAGAGCGTCAGCACTCGAGCCACCGCCACCCATGTTCAACTTCTGAAATAACAGAACGCAAGAAATTGTTTAACGTAATAAATAATTTAATATAAACAATCCTATAGTCAGGTGATGGTATAGCTACTTATACTAGTATAAACAATTCAACAGTAAGGCGATAGTATAACTACTTACAGACATATCAAAGTCCCCAAAGTTCATATTGTTTCCAAGTCCCCCGAGGTTCATATTGTTTCCGAGTCCTCCAAAGTCCATATTGTTTCCGAGTCCTCCAAAGTCCATATTGTTTCCGAGTCCACCAAAGTCCATATTATTTCCAAACCCACCTGGACCTGGAAACCAGAATTAAAGCCAAAAGCATACAATCAGAATTCCTCAAGGAAACTATGACAATACAGAAAGAGATTTAGAAAGGACAAGAAACACTCACCGCCTTCGTCACCTTTCACTTCTTCAGGCTCCTCATCTTCATCAACCCATTTATCCCAATCCACTTTCAGAAAAATAGGAGCTTTTCCCTGCTGTTTTATCAACCTGCTCCACCATTTTTCCTCAGCTTTTTTCACTAGGTAACAGATATTTCTCAAGCCAACACTAGACTTGGTCTCCTACAAGTAAAACAATATGTTAGTCCCATAATTGATTACCGTATGATATCCTAGTAAAATGAAATAAATCCATGATGGTTATGACGAGAAAATTACATTTACATCAATCTTGTCATAGAGATCAAGGTCAACTTCATAAGGTGTCTTCTCTGGTCCAACAGTAGCAGAGAACAAAAACTTTCCTTCAGGCTCCAGTTTAAGCTTTACATCTTGGGCATCCGGCAAGTCAATAGTTATGTAGACAATATCAGACCTCTGGGCCCATTTCACATTAGGATGTCGGCTGAAATGTAAATGTTTAAATGAAAAATTCGTAAAGATTAAAGTACAAAACAATTGAGGTAAATCATATACTCCAGAACAAAAAGCTTTTAGAAATATAAACTTAAAATATTATCCATAATGCTAGCAACTTCTTCTAACACACTTACTTTCAACTTTCTAATATCATAGTTTTTTTTTTTTTTGCTTTTTTCACTTCTGCAATCAGTACCGTCCAATCTTTGAAATTTTCATTAAATTGGATCGTAGAGTGCCTACAAATGTTAGGCAGGCTGCTACAAGGATAGTAGACCCAAAAGTTCCATCTTACCCGCCAATTGCTAAATGTTAAATTTCTTGAACTACACAACATATGCCAAATACCCGAACAGTTAGAGAACACTGGACATTCGTTGTACTCAATCTGCATATATCCCAGGACCAAGAAAGTTATGAAGCAACATAAATGAAACTGTACAGCAGGTGTACAGCAGGGAACAAAGACTATGAAACTGGCATGCAAGTACTGTATGACAAATCAGACTAGCATTCATCAAACCAAAGCTTGTAGCTGCTAGCAATTAGTTGTTAAAATCCTACACTAATCAACCGTTCCTGCACATCTATCTAGCTTTATTCGCATCCCGTCAATAAGAAAACGCGTTCAAGCACGTAGTTGCAGCTTGCACAAATAAGGCATTTTAAGTGTGATAAACAGAAAAAGGAAATGGAAACAAGAGTTTAGTAAAAATGGGAATAGATAAAATAAAGCCGAAAAAGAAAGACCGGCACAACAATTGCACAAATTAACTAGCTTTCTACAACATACAAAAAAGAGTGAGAAATCTAATTCAGCAATTCCCTTCCTAATTAGGTGTATTAATTGAAACAAAATCTCAGTAAATCCTTTGAAAAATAAAACTCATAGCCCCTGTTTGGTTGCAGAGAAAACGAAAAGGAAAAAAGACAACATATTTCCATTCAATTACTTAGTTAAATCAAATAACAGGTAATTTCCATGAAACGAAAAACAAATCATTCAGAATTAAAACCCTAAACCTCTACTGAACCCAACACACAAACCAAAGCGTCTACACAGATTCAATTTTCCATATTCACAGATAACTCAATTTCCATCACTTTCTCAGCAACCAAACAGAAAATAACTGAAAAGGTAAAGACGAAAAATTGGAAAACCTAACTCAAACCCTATGCTTCTTATGCAACCCCAAAAGAAGAAAAGAAAAATATCGAAAGTAAATGTAAATAAAAAGAAAACAGGATCTAAGAGCAACACCTCATATCGGCGTATCGATCCTTTGCTCAGAAACAGCGTTTACTTCGCACTGAGAGAGAGAGAGAGAGAGAGAGAGAGAGAGAGGACGGAGTGGTTTATCGAGGAATGGAAAAGGAGTTTTAGTGTTATTTATAGATTTCTGGACGGTAAAAGTTTAACGAAAATTAATAAAAAGTTTAAAAATAATGAATAGTATTAAGAAAATGTATAAATGTGATTTTTCGTTAAAAGTGAATATTATTGTGAATGTTTTGTTAAAATTCTCTAAAATTTAGTATTTTACACATTTATTTTTATTTTTCAGACAATTTTGTTAGATTTTTACATTAATTTTTTTTAATTTATTCATTTCAACAGCTAAAATTTAAAATTTTTTATAAAAAATAAAAATTGATGCGAATTCTAGTCTTACATTTTGTTTTGTTTTTTGTCAACAAAAACGTAGTTTTGGATTAGATGGTGCCGTGTGTCTCCAGGCTTTGTGCAAGTTTTAGATATTTTGAGGTGGGACTTGGTTGGGTGCTACCTCACCGTTGGGAGGGATACCTGAATGGTGTCATTGTCAAGACTCAAATGCTGGCTTTGTTGATGCTTTTCCAGGGACCGGGAGTGTTCATCAGTTTACTCACACGTTGCAGATTGAGGCGATGATTTGTTTCTCTATTAAAAAGATGATACAACGTAGTTTACTAAATATAATCTTCATAGCATTTTACCGTCTTTTTAATGTAAATGTCAATGTCATGTGGACCGAGTTTTTCTTGGCCTTCATGACATTTACATTTCTTGGTCTTCATGTTTAGATTTAGGCTCATTATCGATAAATTATCTATCGTTTCTTTCATAAACAATGTTATTATATTTCTTGTGCTTATGACAAGAATCGCTCATATTGTAAATCATTCTATGGAGATTATGTCTAAAAATTTAATTATAACTATAATAAATAGATAGACAGTTCGTAATATTTTTATCAATACTGACCATTTGGTCTAGGTGCATTTTTGTTCACCATTCTCAATTGGTGGTAATGCTCACCACCTATTTATCACCGTTGAATGAATTTAAATTTTGAAATTTGTATATATCCACTACACAGATTTCAAATTTAAACTCTTATAACGGTGATAAGTAAGTTGATGCTCTAACTTGAAAATGATAAGCAAAAATATTTCCATTTAATTTTGTCCTATTTGACGACTAAAACGATCTCTTATATGCACATCTCAAATTTATATTTGGAAAACCGACTACCCCGTCCCTCCCTGCTCCCAATGGAGGAGGATTCTACCCTTCCATCCCCTCCTATTTGAACGGTCACGGTTAAGCTACGTCGACATCTTATATTGATTTTTTTATAGAGATAATAAGATAAAAAACAATGTATGAGATAAGAGAATGAAAGAGGATGAAAATAGGAGGATAAATAATCCTCCTCTACCCCCAACAACAAAAAGAGCAAAAAAAAGTAGATACAAAAGGGCTTCCCACTCTTAGAGTGTCATGGGCATGGAATATGGCCAACTTGGAGTCCTTGTTACAGAAATGCACCTCCCTCGCGTGCATCAAGCAGCTCCAAGCGCACCTTCTTACCAGTGGCAAATTCCAATTCTACCCCTCCCTCACCACCACACTCCTCGAGCGCTGCGCCCTCTCCCCCGTCGCCAACCTCCCTTACGCCACAGCCCTCTTCCGCCACCTCCAAAACCCTTCCACCAATCAATGGAACGCCGTCGTTCGAGGCCTCGCCCAGAGCCTCCAACCCACCCAAGCCATCGCATGGTACAAGACCATGTCCCAAGCTTCCCAGAAAATCGACGCCCTCACGTGCTCCTTCGCTCTAAAGGCGTGCGCACGGGCATTGGCTTTCTGTGAGGCAATGCAGATTCACTCTCAGATTGTACAGTTCGGATTTGGAGCCGACGTGCTGCTGCGAACCACTTTGCTGGACGTCTATGCGAAAGTGGGTGATTTGGGGTTTGCACAGAAGGTGTTTGATGAAATGGGTCAAAGAGATATTGCTTGTTGGAATGCTTTAATTTCTGGGTTGGCTCAGGGGAATCGACCCACTGAAGCTATAGCTTTGTTTCAGAGAATGAGCGAGGAAGAGGGTTTGAAGCCTAATGAAGTCACGGTTCTTGGTGCGCTCTCCGCCTGTTCGCAATTGGGTGCACTCAAAAGAGGAGAGAAAGTACATGCCTATATAATGGATGAGAAGCTTGATATGCACGTCATTGTTTGCAATGCGGTTATTGATATGTATGCGAAATGCGGCTTTGAGGACAAAGCATATTTGGTGTTTGAGAATATGAAATGTGGGAAGAATCTAATAACGTGGAATACGATGATTATGGCGTTTGCTATGCATGGCAATGGTGACAAAGCACTTGAGCTTTTCGGACAGATGGATAAAAGTGAGGTGTGCCCAGATGCAGTGTCGTATCTTGCTGCTTTGTGTGCCTGCAACCATGCCGGGCTGGTGGCAGATGGGGTCAGGTTATTTAATTCGATGGCAGGGCATGGGGTTGCCCCTAATGTTAAGCATTATGGAACTGTGGTTGATTTGCTGGGAAGAGCTGGGCGTATTCAAGAGGCTTACGAGATTATAAATTCTATGTCTATGTTTCCTGATGTGGTACTCTGGCAAACTTTACTTGGTGCTAGCAAGACTTATAGGAATGTAGAGATGGCAGAACTGGCGTCTCGGAAACTGATTGAGTTGGGGTCTAAGGGTTGTGGTGATTTCGTGTTGTTATCAAATGTTTACGCGGCTCATGAGAGATGGGATGATGTAGGCAGAGTGAGGGAGGCCATGAAGAAAAGGGATGTGAAGAAGATACCGGGTTTTGGGTACATAGAAGTGGAAGGTATGATACACAAATTCGTGAATGGTGATCAGAGCCATACTAATTGGCGTGAGATTTATGCAAAGCTGGATGAGATCATGTTCAGGATTAAAGCCTATGGATATGCGGCCAAGACTAATAATGTGCTGCATGATATAGGGGAGGAGGAAAAAGAGAATGCATTGAGCTACCACTGCGAGAAATTGGCTGTGGCGTTTGGTTTGATTAGTACCAGTGAAGGGACACCAATTCAAGTGATTAAGAACCTAAGAATATGTGAGGATTGCCATGTTGTGATCAAACTTATTTCGAAGGTTTATAACAGGGAAATAATTGTGAGGGATCGAGCCCGGTTTCACAGATTTAAAGAAGGATTATGCTCTTGCAGAGATTATTGGTGACATTCATATGTTATAAACGTATAAAGCAAACTGGAGATTTGAAATAAGTGATTTCCAGTTAATTTGAAGAGACGTTCTGAAAGAACATATCCCTTCTCTGGTGTTTTGATACTGTTCCAGTGACGGTTAGTAATTTTTTCAACTTGTTTTAGTCCAAATCAGTCATTAGTTGTACACTTCATTCCCAATGATTCAGGGAAGATAAGTTTGAATGGATCGCCACTGCCGTTAAGCCTTCTCTAGTAACTGGTGAGAAACTGTAACTGCAGCACCGCACAAACACACTTTTGCTATACATAGTTGTCTCAGATTTGGGGTGGTAAAACCCTGCAATGAAAAGTTAGATTCTATTCCGTATGTCTCTTGTTGATCATACGTAACCACTGTATGGCATGGTATGAGGCAGACAAATTGTCTAGCCAAAATGAGAACTCACCAGCATGTGCTCTCAAGTGTAGAGGAATAAGATTGAGGGTTTGACGCCTCTCAGATGCCCCTCTGGACGTTTGCTTTTTGTTACCGTTAAGTCTCATTTGGAAGCTTACGACTGCGAAAAAAAAAGGAAGGCATACCATTGTTTCAAGAATTTGTTGTAGGTTGAAGAACCTGTATCTCGGGGGATCATGATGCTTAGCGTGCACAGCATTTGGCGCTGAAGTGTGCGTTATACCTAGTGTTCGGACAGGGTTGTGCCAACATACTATGATTCCTATACATGCGTGGATAGCGTCGTGTTGTTGATCAATTCGTTCTACCAGTTTGTGCAATGAGGCTTACCAGATTTTGTATGATGGTACCTTTTTCTCCTCTGAAAGCCTGCTCTTTCTGTTGATTATGAAGTGCATGACGGATGTGAGTTGCAAGGATGGTACCACCTTAAATGACTTCACACAGGAGGCCGAGATTAGGATCGCGATCAAAGACAAGCCGGAAATGTTTATCACACCTTCAGGCTTCAGTTGTAATTATACTTGACCAACAGCGATGATGATGCAGTTTGATAACATAACGCGTTGAAATTGCCCGAGAATAGAGCATTATACTTTAAACAAGTGTGTCTAATTTCTGATATAGTAAGAAGAATTCTGCAATCAAGCTAAACTTGAGATCGTGTTCGTTCGTTTAATTGAATTCTTTGAAGGCACATACAAACAAGTACATCGATGAGGTCTGGACAGGCCTCTTATGCCCCCTTAAAACCAGTGTTTAATAACAATGAACAAAATATGCTACAAATTAGACAGCCAGAATCTCACAATTACAATGCATAAGGCAGGTTGGTGGTTTTAACACAACCAAGCAAAGAGAAAATTACTGTCACAACCAGAAAAGGACTAACCCGAACGACAAAACCCTCCTGCTAGAGCCTGGAACAGAGCCTCGACGTCACGATTCTAATTCAGATTTCCATGAGTGACCGACGCCTCAGCAAAATAATTTCTCAGCGTGAAGTGAGCTTCAATTAGTAAACTGCTGTGATTCAACTATCTTTCATTGCCTTCATTGCCCTCGCTTCAAACCCCCCTTCCGGTCTCTTGACAAGATCATACGGCATATAGGTGCCAAAAAGTTTATCCCATATCGGGAAAAATGGCTGGGAATAGTTGTACTTCAAGCCTTGAAGTTGATGGTGTATGTCATGATAAGCAGTGTTGTTCTGGAATAAAAGATGGAATATATTACCAGGCAACCAAAGCCCACAGTGATCATCGACAGTTTTAATCACGGCAAAGCAGAAGAATATAACAGCTGTTCGTGCTGTCATCCCTGAGACTAGAAATGAGAGAGCCCCGCCAAAAGTGTCGAGCAAGAGACCCTCAAGTGGGTGATTATAAAGGGCTCCAATCGCATATGGAACAACGAGTCTGTGGTGCTGAGAGTGGACATGGCGATACAAAAACTTGTTCTGATGCATGTAGCGGTGCACAAAGTACTGCCATGTATCCATTACTAGCATTGCGATAACAATCTGGACAATCTGCACAGCTATCGAGGGCTGAATTGTGACCCCGGAGATATTCGCCTTCGAGGTCAACTGTAGCAAAAATGCATGAACTTTTTAGTCAGAATATTAGTTGATAGAAAGGACCTTCCAAATTGGACATAGAGGTCCTAACAGTTTGCTACAAATATTGATATGAAATCAATGCAAGTTGAGAGAGTTGGGACGGTAAAGTTAGGAAGAACAGAAATCGGAAACAAATGTATTGGTCTTATCCATCATTGGGGGGAATTAGACACTACGAATAAAGACCTACTATGAGTCACAGATCGTAACAAAATGTGGATTGGTTAACGTACAATTGCCTACGCTAAATCACTTGTCCAAATTGCAGAGAACGTAAACAATACACCTCATGTAAGACAGTGAAGCTACTGACTCCACCCATCAACCAACCATGGCTTTCAATCTCAAAGCACTGCCAGATCAACCACATTGACTATACACAATTGTAAATTAAAAAAAAAAATTAGACAAAGCACCGCCAAAGCACATTGACTATACCACATTGACTATCAAAGCACTGCCAGATCAACCACATTGACTATACCAACCAAGGCTTTCAATCTCAAGGCCTTCAACTCTTCAACTTCTAAACAAAAAGAGAAAGGAAACACCCAAGCAAAACAGACATAAAAATACAAAAAAATTAAAAAAAAAAAAAAAAAAAAAGGCATGTAAGATTAGTATAAATAAAAGCGCTGGTAGATAACAGTCATCACATACTACAGCATATTGACTACATCAAAGTCTTCAGTAGTATATGACAAAGCTCAGTGATGACAACGAATCCAGCCAGCTAGGTAAGGATGAATATTTATTAAGAGAAACTGCTTCTAATCTCACCCACATTCAAAACGATAAATGTCATCTCTCACATTGTGCTCTGCACATCAATGTTGTCCAGATTTTGAAACACATCTTATAACCTAGATCTAACATCTCAAAAACATGCATCACACGAATATCAGTGTACCAGCAGAGTACCCAAGGAACTATAATCATCCCCAGCCTAGATTTCGTAAAATTCCTAGTGCCTTTTAAAGCCCACCCTCACTATGCTTTTAGGTACGGAAACATTGTTTTTTCATATTTCAATTTTTGTTTTTTCTATGTTTGGACCAGAGGAACCCTGTTCTCTAAAAGGACAATATGCCACAGTGGCACCATGATGCAAAGTATTAACATGCCATCCTTCTGCATGGCAGCATTAACAGAAGGAAACAGCAAGATTGATGGTATAAAGGACACATGAAGCCTTATGAAGTACCGTTCAAAATCCCAACTTAGTTATCAACATGCTAAAGATAAATTTGTACTTAATTTAGCTTGACCTAGAAACTATTGTGAATTCAAAGAGTGTCTCACAAGAAAACATGAGCATCCTTTCAGACATTTTTATGTTTCATTTCCATGTTTCACTGCCTCATGACTAAAAACGGTAGAATTAACAGGTCTCTCCAGTAGTCTCATTCGGTAGGTATGGAAGGTAGCTGGTGTTTGTAGACGCTCATTGTCAAAGGTTTGATTATTTATCTATTTATTTTTTTGAAGAACCCATTGGCAATGTTGGTTGTAAAGTGCTTCACCAAATAATGCAATAAATACAGGTGAATACAAAATCTAGGATTGTAGGATCGCAAATTACACGGCATGCAATTGTACTGAACAATGATATGCATGAACAAAGACATCAAATGAACGGGAAACTTGAAGACTGAGAAGGCATCAAGTTTAGAGCCAAAGTCTAGACGGAATCAAGGAACCAAGACAACCAAGACAAGATCAGGACATCGTCAAGCCCTTGGAGTCTTCAAGTAGGGTAGTTTGTGTCTAAAGCGTCTAGAACATGTCCATGGTAAACCCAAAATAGAAGGAGAAAGATCGGTACATTGCACTAAGCAACTTTCTACATTAGTGTATCAGAAGGTGATTCTCAAACAGCCTGCAATTGGATCATGTCTAATTCTTAGGAACCGTCACTCCATACGAATTCCAATAGTTATGCAGGCACATACCCATATATATTTACATCTATGAACATGGATGAAAATGAAGCACATTCCGCATAAATTGGCATAATTGAGATAATGAACAAGTTGAAGTAACTGACCAAGAAGAGGCCCTGAGCAACGGTGGCCTGGATGAGCTGTTGAAGCAAAACACCCTTAACGACAGAGGGGAGAGGCATCGAGTTCTTCTCGTCTTCCTCTCTTCTTGTATGCAACCGGTAATTGTCCAAGGGCGGCAACAACTGGTAAGCCCCCGCATACAACCAGTAAACCAAAATTGGGGCAAAAGTCCCCATTACCTCATCACTCACATAACCTTCCCAGAACACCATTGCTTTTGTTCTTCTTTCGAAATTTGAATCCAATTGAAGCTTATATCATATTAGTCCCTAAACAAAATCCACTACATTTACAGTTGTAGATCTAGAATTTGAATGCACATTCTCTGAACCCTGAAAATTAAAAATCAGGGAATAATAAAGGAATAAATGCCAGAGTTTCTGATTGTTTCCTGATAGTAATCAATCAACAATGCACAAGTTACTACTCTTCAAGTTTTCAAATTTTCCTTTTGGAATTTCTCGGAAACCATACAGAGCAGAGAAAGAATTTTACTTACCCAAATACATAAAAAACCACAAAGACATTGTAATCAAATTGAGAGCAGAAGAAGAAATAGGGGTTTGGACCGACTTACAGAGAATGTGGGTTCTCATTCAGATCTAAGGCCCTGTTGGCGCACAGCAATGCGGAAACTCTCTTTTGCCGTTAGCAGTTGTGAGATTCAAACGGATTTAAAATGTAGGAAAAAGGGTTCTGTGATCTTGTTTGGGAGACGAGAAATTTAATGTTGTTTGAAATTTCTCTCTCTTTTCCTGCTGCATTCTCTTTTTATAGCTACTACTATTTTCTTTTCTGAGAAAAGGGAAAACTCTTGGTTTAAAAATACTCGAATTTTAAGTAAATTACACAAAATTACTTTAATTATGAGTCGAACGACATTATCATAAATCATCTTTTAAAAATGATAATATCATACCTCATCTTATGAATTTGTTTCAATGTCAGACATCCGTCAGTTTTTCTGTTAATTTCTCTGTTAAGTGCTGAAGTGGATAGATACGGGGTTCATTCACTAATTCAATTGGATTAAAAAATAATTAAATATTAAAAAATTAAAAATAAAATTATTTTTCATATAAAATTATGGGATCCACCCTCACTCTCTCATTTCTCTCTCACCTCTCTCTCTCCTCTCTCTACTCTTTCTCTCTGGGCACCCCCATCCCCAAAATTCCAAAACCCATAAACCCTTCCCACCCGTTCCCCCCCCCCCCAACCTTCCTCCACCACCCTCTTTCTCTCCTCTCTCTCTCACTCTTTCTTCTCTCTCTCTTTCTCTCTAGGCAACATGCATCCCTAAAATCCCAAAACCCAAAATCCCATTACAAATCTCAAAACCAAAAATCCCATCAAACCTCCCAAAGCTCACAAAGCCCCAATTGGTATCCCTCTCCTTCTCTCTCTTCGCCATCGCCGCCGCCTCCCTGGCCTTAGTGCCACCGTCCTTGGCGGAGGAGTTCGAGAATGTGGCCCTACTCGACTTCGACCTCACCTTTTCTATCCAGATGGTGTAGGGATTAGAGAAAGAAGGGGAGTGTCTCTGATTTGGGGCTAGGGATTAGAGAGAAAGAAGGAATGGCTATGATTTAGGGGTGGGCTTGGGTGGGGAAGACAAACTGAGTTTTTTTATAATTTTTTTTTTTAACTTTTCTACGCAGGTCGAGGGTTGATTTTGGCTCCAATGTCATCCTCGACACCTCCTCCATCACCCATGATGGGTTGTGCACCACCAACAACGCTGCACATGAGAGAGAGGGTGGTGGAGGAAGGTTGGGGGGGACAGGTAGGAAGGGCTTCTAGGTTTTGGGATTTTGGGGATGCAGGTGCCCAAAGAGAGAGAGAGAGAGAAAGAAAGAGAGAAAGGGTGGTGGAGGAAGGTTGGGGGGACAGGTGGGAAAGGTTTCTGGGTTTTGGGATTTTGGGGATGCAGGTGCCAGAGAGAGATAAGAGAAAAAGGTGAGAGATAGGGGAGAGAAAGGGTGGATCCCACAATTTTATATGAAAAAATAATTTTATTTTTTATTTTAAAAATATTTAATTATTAAAAATATATTTAATTATTTTTTAATCCAGTTGGATTAGTTAGTGGGCCCGTATCTAGTCACGTCAGCACTTAATAAAGAAATTAACAAAAAAATTGACGAAGTTCTAACATTGGAACAAATTCGTAAGATGAGGTATGACATTATCATTTTTAAAAGATGAGGTATGATAGTGTCGTTCGACCCATAGTTGAAGTAATTTTGTGTAATTCACCCTCGAATTTTTCAAGCTTGCTCTGACTCAGCTCGCATAAGAACCAAGCTAAGCTTAACTCAAAGCTCAAAAAAAACTTAATCAAACTAAATGAGTACAATGATATTTTATTTGGCTCAACTCGTTTACAACTTTATTTTGAAAATAATACAATGACATTTTTATGTGGTACATGGAGCAATATTTTTTAATTATTATTATTTTTGGAATACATACGAGATTTTTGGAACACGTACAAGATTATCTATATTAAGTGATGGATGAGTGGACTAAGCCTCACAATGAACTAACCACAATAATTTGATTTGAATTCACCTTTGGCGATAATTAAACTTTAGATTTTTTCACTTACAAATAAAGAGGAAGACCATTATACCGTAGTACTAAGTGACAATTATTTTTAATTCTTGAAGTTTGTGTGATAATGAAGGTCTGTCAGGATCCAAACTTTTGGAAATTAAGGGAAGAGATAGTAGTGGTGCCAGTGGCGGAGCCAATATTTTATAATAATGGGATCATAATCTAAGTTCCAAAAAAGTAATTATACTTTCTTTTATATTGTCATGATGTGTTCTCGTATTTTAAGAAACGTCATATCACACAAAGAAAAAATGTGAAAAAACTACTAATATAGAGCCAGAAAAGAAGACTAGGAGTTAAACACACAATAAAGAAGAATAGAGGAAATCTTTTGTCAAATGTGGAGAGTGATTTTAACAATGATTAATAAAAGTGTAGTGAGTTGTATGTTCTTTCTTAATTTTTTACAAGGTTCAAAAGGAGATTGAGTTGAGGTATAAGATAAATCATAAGCATTTAGCTGGGGTATTGCGTTTGATCGAGGTTTAATTTAAGTTAGAGAAAAAGAGAGAGAGGAGAGAAAGAAAAAAAAAATACAAGAATAAAGAGTTGTGCTACAAATGGGAGAACGACTGAGATAAAATAAGCTTGGAGTGGAGTAAGATAACTAAAAAAAACCCCCAAAAATCACCTACAAATTTGCTATAGGAGTCAAGACAAACTAACAAGGGTAATACATTGAGTTGTTGGATTCCCCCTTTGTTGAACATGTGTCCCAAAAAGTCAATCATGAGATGATAATTAACGGATATTTCACTTACTAAATTAATTTAGTTTAATTTAAAGACAGGATTATTATTTAATGTCGTCTCATTAAATGTTTTAGTCCTCCACTGTTGGCTTACCTTCATCCCTCTAAAGACTTTTGGACCTCGTTTTAGTTGTTGAAGACATTAGGCCATCTCCAACCAAGGGCTGGTCAGAGGGCTCGTTTTAGGCCTCTGGCTCTCCAAGATTCTCAAAGATATTAATATTTTAATGAACAATACAGGGCTATATTTGCCTTCATCTCTAACCGAGGGCCAGAGGGCCAAATGACTCGTTTTAGCCCTGTCACAAAAAACCGTCTCCAACCGAGGGCCAAAGGGCCAAACATAATTTATTATTTAAAAACTACAACTTAAATTCAAATCCAACGGCTAAGTGACGCCAGCTAGTCGTTGGTAGCTAACATCATGCTGACATCAGCTAACCGTTGGATTTGAAATTTTCTTTTGCCATAAATAGTGTGGATATTGGGCTATAATTCACACAAATTTGAATTCAATCTATTTCAATTCAATCTCTTTCAATTCAATCTTTTTCAATTCAAGTTTGCAATGAATTCCAACTTTGGATCCTCTTCGAATTCCAACTGGGGGTCTTCATCCAATTCCAAATTGGAAGCAACATGGGCGCAAATGAGACGAAAAGATTAAGGAAAAAATGGAATTTAAAAAAGAATGAAACAAATTTTGTAAAATAAAAGTTATAGGAAAAAAAATAGAATTAAAAAAAAATAAAAATAGAAGTTATAGGAAAAATTTTGTAAATAAAAAATATTAATAAAACTAAAAAAAAAAAAAATTCAAATGCAACGGCTAGCTGACAATGAAACAAATTTTGTAAAATAAAAGTTATAGGAAAAAAAATAGAATTAAAAAAAAAAATAGAAGTTATAGGAAAAATTTTGTAAATAAAAAATATTAATAAAACTAAAAAAAAAAATTCAAATGCAACGGCTAGCTGACATCAGCTAGCCGTTGCATTTGAATTTTTTTCTTAAGCATTCCTGTTGGTTATAATCGACAGGAAAGCTGATTATTCTGGCCAGCCCTGGGCTAGCTGCAATCAGCCCTCCAGCCATCTCCGATTCTGTGGGGCCCTCTCAAATTCTACAGCCCTCTGGCCTATCCCTCGGTTGGAGACGGTTTTCAGGCTATTTTTGGTCCTCTGGCCCTTTGGACCCTTCGGTTGGTGATGACCTTAGTTCTTCTTAGTAACCATTAATAATTTCATTCACTTTCGAAATTTATTCATCTATAGGAAGTATTGACGATCCATTATTTGTTGTTTCAATTTTTATTAATATATCCATGAGTACTCAAGTGCTAATGAGTTAGTAAATTAATATGACGCTAATCACTAATTTAATTCACATACTATTTAAGTATTATATTTACAGCTGATTATGTCGTCTCTTTGTTTACGTATTCATCCAAAAATAATTTAAATTACGATGAATAAAATTAACTTGGGTTTAGAATGCAAAACATATTGTTTTAGCCAATTTAATTAAACTCATATCTTCCAAAAGAAGAAAATTATCAACCACCAAATCATGGAAACCACCAAGCGGGCCCCCTAATATCTTAATCTCCAGTGCACAAATCGCAGTGCGACTGCGAGAGTCGTAGCGAATCATCCAACCGCGCAACACCTTAAACCCGCCCAGCTTACCTCGCCGCCACGCTTTCACACACAAAAGGAAACAAAATCCTTTGAAAATACACAAGGAAACTTCTCATCCCCTCTCTCGCACTACAAAACTCCTCGTCCGCCCTTTTCCTCCTCTGACTATTCGCATTGACCACCACCTCCACCCACTCTCTCTCTCTCTCTCTCTCTCTCTCTTCCGCCTTAGGAGAGTCCTACTGTGTTTTTGTAGGACTTTTCTCTTCTCTCTCTCAATTATCCACATCCCTCTCTCTCTCTCTCTCTCTCTCTGTTGTGTTTGATCGGTTGAAATTTTTCGATTTTTGTTTGTTCGAGGGTCTTGATTTTGTTGTTGAGGAAGCGATGGTGAAGGAGGACGATTCAGCCGCGCTTTTCTGTGACGGCCACTTTGCCGCGCCGGGGTTTCGGTTCCATCCCACCGACGAGGAGCTTGTCCTCTACTATCTGAAGCGGAAGATCTGTAAGAAGAGGCTCAAGATTGACGTCATCGCCGAGACCGACGTCTACAAGTGGGACCCTGACGAACTTCCTGGTATGATTTTCGTATGATTTTTGATATGGGGTTTGTGGGTTTTAGAGGTTTTTGTGTGAAAGCATTGATTTTTAGTATGATTTTCGATTTGGGGTTTGTGGGTTTTGATTGTTTGGTTATTAATTTGGGTATTTGTTTTGGTTTTTTGAATCGGTTTTTGTGTAAGTCAAAAGTTTTGTGTTTATGATTGATTGCTGTAGAACAAGTGAGAAGAGTCTTGATCGTCGGGTCAACCCTTTGGATCAAAGTCTAATTGGTGCATTAATTCTTAAAACCCTAATTTTAAATGTTTGGATCATTGCGGATTTTGGTTTTTTTTTTTTTTAGATTGCTTTGCTTCTCTACTTGCTGTGTATTGGCTGATGGGTTTCAGAGTATTTTTTGTTTTGATGACTGGATTTCGCCATGTTGGATTGGATTGGTTTTTCTTATACTTTGGTTATTGTTGATGGGTTTGGTTAACAAGGTTTTCATTCCTTTTCAGATTTGTTTTGGCACACACTTTCCGAAATTTGCAGGATGCTATGGTGATATTTTCTATGATCTAATCAAATAAACTGCTATAATGTCGGTAGTTTGTGCTATATAAAGCCACGCATGTTAGGAGTAAAGTAATTTAATATTTGTCCTTAGCCCTTGGTTTATAAATCCCAACTTTAAAATTCCAAGTAGATGTGCCTGTTAATCCCTGATTGCGTTTGGCATGGAAATGGTTTTAAATAATTCTGATTTCATCAATTTTAAGTCATCTGCTAATCTTAGTTTTATGTATTAGATAGCTGTTTAACGTCTCACATTTTGTGTTCTTTAGCCTCTCACAATTTTTGTTGTTTAACCTCTCACAATTTTAGTTGATTGAATTTGGTTACTAACTAGTGAATGTGATATGCAGAACTATCTCTGTTGAAAACTGGAGACAGGCAATGGTTCTTTTTCAGTCCGAGAGATTGGAAATACCCTAATGGAGGAAGATCAAGCAGGGCAACCAGACACGGGTATTGGAAAACTACAGGAAAGGATCGTACCATTGTATGCTATTCACGGTCTGTTGGATTGAAGAAGACCTTAGTTTATTACAAAGGCCGTGCACCTAGTGGGGAGCGCACCAACTGGGTGATGCACGAGTATACCTTGGATGAGGAAGAGCTCAAGAGATGCCAGAATGTACAGGTATTGATTGGAATAACATCCTTTTCAATGTGCTCTTGAATTTCTTTTATTGTGTAAACCAAAACTGACCATTTTGTTCTTCCTTTGTTTTAGCAATACTATGCTCTCTACAAGGTTTACAAAAAAAGTGGACCCGGTCCCAAAAATGGCGAGCAATATGGGGCACCATTTAGGGAAGAAGACTGGGTTGATGATGAATCCCCAGTAATCAAGACTGCTGCTGATAGCCAAATCTCAGTGAAGCAAGCTGTAGATGTTGTTTCTATTGATGATGTGAAGGTCAATGGGGATGTCCATTATGCACCAAATGACATCGAGGAGTTCATGAAACAGATTGCTGATGAGGCTGTGCTGCCTGAAATGAATGGGTACGGTTACACAGCACCCCAGGTTGGTAATCTCTCTCTATTTACTGTACCCCCTTATTTTCTTCCAGGGCTAGTTGTTTATTGCTATTGCAGAGTATTTGGCAAATATGGCTAAAATAAGATTTTTGTATCGTAGAGGCTGATGGTTCTGGTTTAGGTGTTACCTCAATAGTCCCCACAATCAGTATTTTAAATGCTTAATCTTGATAAAGGATGATTGCATAAATAAAGAAAGTTTGTACTTTTAAATTTTCTTTGCTTGATTTTAGTCTTGCATGTGTTAAATCTGTGTCACTGCGAACATGTAATTAACATTATACAATTTCATTTTGTAGGTTCTTAGCGAAGAAGATACCCAAAGTACTCTGGTTGATCTGTACTCCAGGGAAGTTATCTGTGCTGAACCTGTCAGAGAGTTCAATCCAAATGTGCCGCAATGCAATGTGGACGCTAACTTTGACTTCACGCAGTCATCTACCTCCCAAATGCAATCTTACGAGGCATCTGAAGTCACAGATGCTCCTGACATTTATGACCAGGACCCTCCTGCACTGCATGAAGAGGATTTCTTGGAGATGGATGATCTTCTTGGTCCTGAACCTACTGTACCAAACACTGTGAACCCTGTAGACGACTTGCCGTTTGGAGAGCTAGATGGATTAAGTGAATTCGACTTGTATCATGATGCAGCCATGTTTCTTCAAGACTTGGGGCCTATTGATGAAGGAAATGTTGCTCATTATCAGTACATGAATTCTCAGGGGAATAATATAGCAGACCAGTTTGAATACCATTTACAACCCAATCCAGTAGCTGAAAACCAGGTTAACCATCTGCTGAATCCAGAATCAACTCAGATTAACAATCAGCTGTGGACAAACACTGAAAGAGCAGAACCAAATCAGGGATCTCTCTCGTATTCAACCCCAGGTACATATAACAGTGACGATGAATTGTCGATGCTCATGTATTATTAAGTGCAGGTTTCGAGCTTCAAAACTCTTCTAAAAGCTGGTTTCTATGAATGTATTATTGATCGCAGTGGTTTGCATGACTCACTTCTAGTTATATGTTGGCTTTCCCTTTGTTGTAAATTGGAATGTCCCTATAAAATCTTGTAAGTAGTCGCTAATATAGGCGATTTGTATCTGGTATTGTTTAGGTGTGGTATATGAATCTTCAAATTTTCCTTCCCAAGCAACTCAAAATCAAAGCGGCAATGAGGCTGCAGGTGCTACAAGTCAGTTCTCTTCTGCTCTTTGGGCCTTTGTGGAGTCTATACCTACCACCCCTGCATCGGCTTCAGAGAGTGCTTTGGTGAATCGTGCTTTTGAACGGATGTCTAGCTTCAGCAGGTTGAGAATTAATATGGCAACTACAACAGTCGCTGCAGGTAATGATTCTGAAACTAGGAGGGCAGGCAGAAAGAGGGGATTCTTCTTCCTTCCGGTTCTTGTAGCACTATGTGCCGTTTTTTGGGTTTTGATTGCAACTCTCAGACCATGGGGGAGATCCCTCCCCGCTTGAGTCTGCAAGTGGGAAGTTTTGCTGCTATATATATGATTATATTCGCCATTGGAAAATTGAACCATTATGTTTACATAGGTTTTTAATATCTATATGAATGTTGGTTGTAAAGGATGAAATTGCCTAGTTTTTCCTTCACTTTTTGTAAATAGAAAATTCAACATATAATTTTTAGGTTATGTGTTTTTGGGTCGCTAATTAGTGTGCACAAACTTTGCACCGTTGCACTCATTCACTTATTTGCTGCTTCTTACCAAGCACCTGTACATGTCTTGATTCTTTTTTTTGTCTCTTGGAAATGTACAGGTCTAAGAATATTGACTAAAGGGTCTCCATTTTTTTTTTTAATTGGAATTAGTTGTGAGGCCAAACAACATTGGACTTCAATGATCTGAACGTTTATTTTTCAAGTTGCACTTTGTAGATCATTCATGCAAAGTATCAACCAAATCAGAAATGTTTGAGACATCTAATTTAGTTAAAAGAAATTGACGAACATTATGGTCTATAAGAAGAAACATTGAAATTTTATCATGACAACTGAATGGCCAAATAGTTACGGATTGAATTGAATTTTTGTAAGGATAATCTATAGATTGAGCTTTATAACATAGACGATTCATATAGTCGAAGTTCGACGTGGAGTGAATCCGATAATTAATTTTTATTATTTTTTTCAGAAATATGGATCCCTCCCGGCCTATATGTTGACATGCCACCCAGGGAAATTTTGTCAAAGTAGTGTCCAAGGGATAACAGTGATCGTAGTTTTAAAAAAAAAGGCTTCAGTGTTATTTCTGTATAGTACCGTCGATTTCTTCTTTCTTGCTTTCCTTTTACTAGCGGAAATTGAACGTCAAAGTTATGGTCTCAACTTCGGAGATATAGAGGAGTTTTGACGTGGGCGCTTGGTTTTTTTAATTTTTAAGAGGGGTGCGTTTGTTTGCCTTAATTAAGCTAGACTGGACTGGATTAAATTTGATGTGAATTCGTGTTTGTTATTCACACGGGTTAACTTTAATGAAATTAAGAGGTGTATGCAATTGGAATTTTGAATTTATGGGTATTTAATCAGGATTTTAAGTGATTCTGTGAAATTCAATATATATTGAATCAAGATTTCAAGATAATTTATTAAAATCTTTAGAAATCTGATTGTATTTAATTAGGATTTGGAACAAGTTTATAACATTTTAGGTGTATTCAATTAGAATATGATTTTGAAGAATTTAAAAAAATTAAGGAATTAAGGGGAATTGAAGAGATTTTGTAGTATATTGGAAGTATCCACAAATCTCTCATCTTCCCCGTAAGATTTCGAGAGAATTGAATATAAAATTTACATAAAATCTCTACAAATCAATTAAACTCTACATAAATTCATGAATTTATAAATCTATTAAAATATCTTAAATTTCCAATTAAATACACCTAATTTTACTTTTACTCGCCTATGCTAAAGCCTTCATTGAACGGTCCTTAGGGCCTGTTTGGGATTGAGGTGCTTAAAAAAAAAGCTCCTATGAAAAAAAGCTATGAAAATTTTTGGTGTTTGGTAAACTTTAAAAAGCAGCTTTTTTTCAAAGTTGAGGGTGAAAAAAAGCCCAAAACCAAGAGATGACAAGAAGCTGCAATTTGTAGCTTCCAAAAGCAGCTTATTTTCACCCACACACGGGTGAACAGTGTCCAGGTTTAATGAAATATACCGACGCTCTCGCCTTTCTCCAGAACTCTCTCGCACGTCAAAACTACAACCTAGACCCCGATCTAGGTATCAAAATGAAGCACTAGCCAAGAGGAGTAGTTTTATACCTTGGGTTCGCCGTGAAACGGCTTGTGGTGGCCGGAAAATCCCTCGGAAAACACGCACTCGCCGGAAAATTGGGTGTACCTCCACCCTTGCCAAAAACACTCCAAAACCTTGAAAATTCATGAACCCAACTCAGTAACTACATTTAACCAACATCTAACAAGACTAAGAAGGGAGAAACCATGCCTACCCAACCGGAAAACAAGCTAAAATTCGCCGGAGATGCTCGGCGTACTCCGGCACCGCGAGCAGGGGAGAGAGAAAGAGAGAGAGAGAAGCAGTTCAACGGCGATGATGGTGACTCTCCCTGAGTTGTGCGACTGTGGGTATTTGTGTGTGTGTGTGTGTTGTCACGGGGAAGAAGAAGAGAGAAAGGGAGGAGTTTTCGAAAAGAAAGGAAAAAGAAAGATGCAGACAAACCAAAACAAAAGAAAAGAAAAGAAAAGAAAAAGAAGAAGGAGAAGAAGAAAAAGGTGTCACGGAAGGGAGAAATTTTTAGGTGTGCCGGGAACACCATGCCACGTGGTTTGTCATACTAATTAATATTTAAGATAAAGTTTATAAATATTTTTCTTCTAAAAATAAAATATATTTAGTAATTCACTTTTATTTGTTAAGAAAATTAAATTAATAACACATCTAGTAATATACCCTTTTTGGTCATTTCACACAGTCACAGCTGTTTTACAAAAAAGTTTACCAAACACTATGATACTGCTTTTTGTTTCCAAAAGCACTTTTACAAAAAAGTTTACCAAACACTTTGCTGGCTTTATTTCACAGCCGCTTATTCTCACAGCACAGCCACTTAGGGCTGGTTTGGTATTGCTGTGATTTGAAAAAAAGCTGCTTTTGCTGTGCTGTGAGAATAAGCAGCTGTGAAATAAAGCAACGAAGTGTTTGGTAAATTTTTTTGTAAAAGTGTTTTTGAAAAAAAAAAGCAGTATTATAGTGTTTGGTAAACTTTTATGTAAAACAGATAGTGAAAAAAAGCCAGTTTTTCAAAGCTGGGTTTTATAGCTTCTTGTTTTTGGCTTTTTTTCACCCAAAACTGTGAAAAAAAGCTGAACCTGAATGTTTACCAAACACAAAAACAGCTCCCAGCTTTTTTTGATACCAGCTTTTTTCAGAATCACCTCAGTACCAAACCAGGCCTTATTCTCACAGCAGCTTTTTTTCAAAGCACAGCAATACCAAACCAGCCCTTAGCGTGACCACTGAAAACCATGGAACTGCTAAGACCGTTCTCTCTCTCGCGTCGCGGTCGTGCTCGATTGCGTCATATACAACGACGACTCATCATCTCCGACCCCTCCCGCCGCGTCCTCTTTCTCTTTCTAACTCGATCGTCGTCTCCATTTTTGCTTCTAATTCATGGTTTTTTGAATTTTTGGGCCATGTCGATTTGCAGAGATCGATTGGCATGGAGGATTTTGAGTTTTTGGATTGGATTCTGGATTTTGTAAATGGAGGATTCTGAGTTTTATGGATTGATTTTGGGTTTTTCCAAATGGAGGATTTTGTGTTGTTTGGATCGGATTTTGGGTTTTCATTTTTGAGTTGTGTGTTTTGTGATGTGGGAGTTGTGGAATTTGTGGAGTTTGGGAGCTGTGATTTGAGTTAGATCCTACTTTTTCAGGTACAAGGGAGCGTAGGTTCGCAGCATATATTGCTGCTTCAGATGATGAGGAAGACATTGCGAAGTTCATTGGCGTGGTCATAGACTTCGATAGCATAAACCCCACTGGATTCATGGAAGACAACTTTTACTGAGAGTGAAGGAAAAGCTCAAGTCCAAAGAACTTGAGGAGGACCATCTTACCTAAGTTGAAAAATTATGAAATGATGTTTGTGTGTGGTTTCTCCACTTGATTCACACTGTGTCAGAACTAAATTGTGGTTGATTTGGGATTTAATCAGTGTGTTTTCTGACATAATTGATCTTTGATTCAATGGGATTGTATGTATGTTCAAACCACTGTAAGACTTGCTTTGTTTCTCAAATGCATGGGGTTCCATGGATAGATGCACTACTCTTTACTTCAAAAAGAAAAATATTATTATTCTTCTTCTTAGTTTAGTAAACGCTTTACCAAGTCTGTTTAACTTAGTCTATTCTAAGCAAGTCCATTTTAGTCAATTCTAAGTCAGGCTAGCTTAGTTCTAAAGCTAGTCCACTCCCGATGCAACAAGCGCACCATAAATGTTTTTCTTGGTTTGAAAAGGCCTAATTTAATGTGTCCTCATCACAATCAGAAACAGTAAAGCTTCCAATTCCCGAATGCATACATGTAACCACATATGTAACCATCATGTTTTAAAAGATATAATGCCCTTTAGTTATTCTTCTTATGATACAATGATATATTTATATTAGGCTTTTTAGCCAAAATGGTCATTGAGATTAACATAATTTCTCACTTCAGTCTATGAGATTTAAAATTGATAAAAATGATTCATGACTTTGTTAAAATGACAAAATTTTTGGTACTTCCATGAAATTTTTTATTAAATAAGGACGAAAATGACAAAAATATTCTCAATTTAATAAACAATAGGCCAAAATGATTTGACAAAGATTAAGAATATTTTTGTCATTTTATCTTTATTTAATGGAGATTTTTACGGAATGACCAAAATGATTGATGGTACACAAACTCAAGGAACAATTCTATTTTATATTAAGGGCTGTATTACTAAGTGATAAACAAGTGACCAAAACATTAACATATAAAACAAGTGTAAAATTGAGAGTATAAAATTTTGTTTTTGATGTTCTTGTGTTTTGAAGATGCGGGCAAAACAAAATTAAAGTTTATAAGTAGTAAAAAAGGTCATTTCTTGTTCCTAATTGTGGTAGCAAAAATATGATGTCTTCAGTTTTGGCGAAGTTGTACTTATAAAACAATCACACATTTGATCAAAGAATCCGACACTAATTAGTTTCTTTGAAAAAAAATGAGTTTTTAGAGTTTTCCGTATAGTGAAAAGTTTACAGAAATTTGGAGAAGATGGAGGTATTTATCAGAGAAGGTGGCCGGCCATGAGGTTAGGTTTTTGCCCTATACATGGCGGCATCCTATTCGTCAAGTAATGTCATTCATAGGATGCACAAGGAAAAAAATATTAGGAGATAATATTTTGAAAGATGATGGGAATATCCCTAATTGATTATGGTAGGGATTCCTTACTTGATAGAGATAGAGCTGGTCTTCAATTGAGAATATATTAAAGATAGGATTTAGTAATTAATCATTTGTTTAATGCATTTGACTTTTCCATGTCACAAGCAGGGGAGCTTTGAGAAGTTGTGTCAACTGCTTGGACTAAGGGATGCTGAGCGTGTAGGAGTATTTGAGAAAAGTCCATGCGTTGCCTTCTAAAATTTTGGGATTATTTTTGGCTCCACACTAGCCATTTCTAGAAGAAAACACTTATCTTGATCCCTCCTTTTTTTTCTCATTAACTCACCTTCAATTTCTCAATAAATTCCACAATTTTTGACTGCGAAGAAAACTCACCTTCACATACATTTCTCAAATCTGATTATTTTCCGATTCTCTCTCGACTCGATAATTACTATACATCCATTATTGTTTTTTTTTTTATCTCAATAAATTTAATTACCAAGATAGCACAAGTAGATACATGGAGGCCCAAATACATTTTAAAGCACCAAAAAAAAAAAAAAAACAAAAACAAAAAAACAAAAAAACAAAACAAAAACAAAAAAAGCAAAACCCTAAAACATCCATCGTTGTTTTGGATTGATTTGATTGCGCGGTTGATCGATTTTGGTGCTGGATTGTGTTGAAAAGTTTGTAAATAAATTTTACACGCAATATGCTTTGATGAAAGAAAAATTAATTCAAATGAAACTTGTAAGTAAAACCTACACGGATTCTGAGTTTAGAAATTCAACTAGTCTGTAGAATTTGGTAGGATTTCACAATCTCTGTTATCCCAAATTACTTAAACAATTCTGAAATACCCTGTGGAAACATCCGAGAATACAGAGTGATAATCACTAAAAACACCGTATTACGTCGTCCTATATCATTAAGAAACAATTGAACAAGTCCAAAGAACTTGAGGAGGACCATCTTACGTAAGTTGAAAAATTATGAAATGATGTTTGTGTGGTTTCTCCATTTGTTTGTCAAAGTTGGGTTTTTATTGTCAGGCGGACATCGTTCCGTTACACTTGATTCACATTGTGTCAGAACTAAATTGTGGTTGATTTGGGATTTAATCAGTGTGTTTTCTGACTTTAATTGATCTTTGATTCAATGGGATTGTATGTATATTCAAACCACTGTAAGAATTGCTTTGTTTCTGAAATGCATGGGGTTCCATAGATAGATGCACTACTCTTTACTTCAAAAAGAAATCTATTATTTTTATTATCCTGCTTCTTAGTCTAGTAAACGTTTTACTAAGTCTGTTTAGCTTAGTCTATTTTAAGCTAGTCTAGCTTAGTCAATTCTAAGTCAGTCCAACTTAGCTCTAAAGCGAGTCCAGTCCCGGTGCAACAAACGCACCATAAATGTTTTTCTTGGTCTGAAAAGGCCTAATTTAATGTGTCCTCAGCACAAACAGAAACAGCGAATGCATACATGTAACCACATATGTAACCATCATGTTTTAACACATATAATGCCCTTTAGTTATTCTTCTTGTGATACAATGATATATTTATATTAGGCTTTTTAGCCAAAATGGTAATTGAGATTAGAATAATTTCTCCCTTTAGTTTATGAGATTTAAAATTGATAGAAATGATCCCTGAGTTTGTTAAAATGACAAAATTTTTGGTACTTCCATGAAATTTTTTATTAAATAAGGGCGAAAATGACAAAAATGCTCTCAATTTGATAAACAATAGGCCAAAATGATTTGACAAAGAATGAGAGTATTTTTGTCATTTTATCATTATTTAATGGAGATTTGTATGGAATGACCAAAATGATTGATGGTAGACAAACTCAGGGAACATTTATATTAATTTCAAATCTTCAGGACCAAAGTGAGGAGTTATGCCAATCTCAGAGACCATTTTGGCTAAAAAAACTTTTATATTAAGGGCTGTATTACTAAGTGATAAACAAGTGACCTGATGCGTTACGAATGTGACACACACAAATTAAAACCCTCTTGTGACAATTGTAGTATAAGTATAAGTAGGGATCGTTCTTAACCGGGGATTAGGAGGGATTGCAAAATCACTTGGAAACTGACTCAAAAACGTAAAATAAAGTTTAAAACACTGAACTAGACTCAAAGAATGCAAAACTAAACACTTAAAACACTAAAACAAACCAAAAGACTCAAACAGCACCAAAAACACTCAAAACAGCCTTAAAAACACTTTCTGGGCAGTTTTGAGCACTTTGACTACTTTGGACGAAATTGGGTAATAAAATGAATTAAAACACTTAAAAACACAAACTAAG